GAGAGAGCAGAGGAAGAATCAACACACTCAGAACCTAGCAAGGCTTAGGAACTGGAGGATTCAGGTACCACAAAAAATAGGGTGAGGTGCGATGAGACAGTGATGAACACAGCTGAGTCTCCAAGCCCTCTCCTCCTCCCGCGGTCAGAGGGTCCTCACACCCCCATCCAGGTAGTAACCATAGTATTGTTGGAGAAACTGGACCCCCTGCCTTGGAGACACCAGCAAAGGAGATGCACACAGGAAATAAGGAGTTTCAGTGAAAGCCCATATCCTCTTCGATGGGAAGCTTCAATTCTCTCTCCTCAGGATGTCAAGACCCATGTTCACACCATTCCCAGGCAACAGACTGAGGAGCCTGGAGAAAATGAGATAAGACTCTGATGTTTGAGGATCTCCAGCGAAAGACCAGCCAGCTAATTGATCACCCTGTGGTCAGGCCCGGCAAGCTACTGCCCCCGAAACCCACTGTGACTTGGTGTCGTGCCTTATTCTTAGATGTGAACAGAACATTAAAAATGACCAGACGCTGGAGGGAAGCCTCCAAGAACAGAGAGAAAGAAGGAGTATGGAGAAGTAGGCAATTGGGACAGAAAGAAATTTCAGAACTGTAATCACAGCCCAGCACACAATAGCAAAGATATAGAGTCAAGCTAGATGTCCATCAGCTGATGACTGCACAAAGAAAATGTGGTGTATCTGCAGGGTGGAATATTACCCAGCCATTAAAAACGATGAAGTCCTGACATTTGTAACAAAATGGATCGACCTGGAGATCATTATGCTAATGAAATAAGCCAGATACATAAAGAAAAATCCATGCTTTCTCTCATATGTGGAAGTTAATATATAGAGTATAAAAAATGTGTGTATGTTATATTATTTGATATATAAATAATTGTAAATCTTGTCTTCACTGAATTATACCCTCTGCATAATAATATACCCTCTTCTCTCACTTTATGGCACTGTCTTGAATCCTACATTATGTAATATTAATATTCGTGCTTTTAAGACAAATTGTATGAATGTATATATAATATTTACATAGAAAATAAATATGACAAAATGTTAAAGATTCTTAAATCTAAGTAAATATTGTTAAAATTTAATATCTTCAGAAAAATAAAGCAATGCTTCCATGGAGAATAGCATGCTTATATATCAAAATAGCATGCTTATAAATTAAAATATTAATTATTCCTACAAAGTGAGAGGCAAATTCTATATGAGAAAGAAGAGATAACTACATAAGAAAATAAATAGGCCGGCGCTGCGGCTCACTAGGCTAATCCTCTGCCTGCGGCGCTGGCACTCCTGGTTCTAGTCCTGGTCGAGGCGCCGGTTCTGTCCCACTTGCTCCTCTTCCAGTCCAGCTCTCTGCTTTGGCCCGGGAAGGCAGTGGAAGATGGCTCAAGTGCTTGGGCCCTGCACCCCATGGGGGACCAGGAGGAAGCACCTGGCTCCTGCCTTCGGATCACCGCAGTGCGCTGTCCGTAGCAGCCATTTGGGGGGTGAACCAACGGAAGGAAGACCTTTCTCTCTGTCTCTCTCTCTCACTGTCTAACTCTGTCAAAAAAATAATATAAATAAATAAATAAATAAATGAAAATAAATATAAGAATTCCAGTATCTGGGGCCAGCACTGTGGCACAGTGGGTTAAAGCCCTGGCCTGAAGCACTGGTATCCATACGGACGCCGGTTCTAGTCCCAGCTGCTCCTCTTCCAATCCAGCTCTCTGCTATGGCCTGGGGAAGCAATAGAAGATAGTTCAAGTTCTTGGGCCCCTGCACCCATGTGGGAGACCTGGAAGAAGCTCCTGGCTTCAGCTCGGCGCAGCTCCAGCAGTTGCGGCCATTTGGGGAGTGAACCAACAGAAGGAAGACCTTTCTCTCTGTCTCTCCCTCTCACTGTCTGTAACTCTACCTCTCAAATAAATAAATAAAATCTTAAAAAAAAAAAATTCCAGTGTCCAACCAAATGGCATTCATTCAGATAGTCCAGAAAAAAAATATTGAAGACAAAAAAAGTATTTTAAAGTTTAAGAGAATATTGTACTAAAAATTTGAGCCCTCAGATTGGGCTACCATGCAAATTGAGAAAAAACCCAAATTGCAAAGTACATCTTTTTTAAATTGCTAAACACTGGGGATAGAGAAGAAATTTTAAAGGAAAATCAAGTAATATTCAAAGTGTTAAGAAGAATAGTGTGTTCTTTTCCAAAGCAAGAAAACAACAGAGCCATCCTTCAATATTCTGAGTGAAAATATTTCAACCTAGAATTATTAGGTGAGCTAGCAACTGGGGATGAGAACAGAATAAAGACTTTATCTGTCATGCAAAACCTCCAAAACAGTGAGCTGCCCAGTGTTAAGCAATGCACACCCTTTCTCTTGAAGCCTGGCAGGTGTGCTCCTACAAAACGAGGGTGCCAGGAGGAGGGAGAAAGGCCTGGGATGCAGGAGGTGAGAGAGCAGCAGCAGAAGCTGCGAGGGGACAGCCCTGAGTGACAATGAGGGATGCCCAGGAGGGCAGCTATCCCCAGACAGAGAATCCAGAACAGACAACAGGGTCAACTTGCAGGAAGGAGTCCCAGGATGGGAGGGATCCAGCGAAAGGTATGACACTCTTGTCCCGCTCTAAGATTGTTTTGAGAATCATTTTACAGAATTGTGCAGGATGTGATAAGACCTAGATGTCTGAAATCCTAACTCCAGGACTTGCAAAAATGTTCATAAGAAAGGAAGCAATCATTCTGTGTTAGTTGACTCAGCACTGAGTGGTAATTAAAAGGAGATAATCAGGAAAGCTCTGAACCTGGATTGCCTTGGGGCCGTGGAGTGAGTAGTAGACAATAAACTCGCAAACTCACACCTGCCACCAGATATCATCAGTGTTGAAGGACTGACCCTGGGGATAGCATCCTGGAGCTTGCCCTTGCTCTGCCACATACAAGCTGTGAGTGCTTGGCTCTATGATGTAGACTCTATGACAGTTTTCTCATCTGTTACTGGGTTAATAATATTCCTAACTCATAAAACAATGAGAATTAATAAGTGAAACAGTATAAAACTCTCAGGACAGTATCAGTACATAGGAAGGACCATATAAGGGATGTATCACTGGCCAGCGCTGTGGCTCACTAGGCTAATCCTCCGCCTTGCAGCGCCGGCGGACTGGGTTCTAGTCCCGGTCGGGGCACCGGATTCTGTCCCGGTTGCCCCTCTTCCAGGCCAGCTCTCTGCTGTGGCCAGGGAGTGCAGTGGAGGATGGCCCAAGTGCTTGGGCCCTGCACCCTATGGGAGACCAAAAGAAGCACCTAGCTCCTGCCATCGGATCAGCGTGGTGCGCCGGCCGCAGCGCGCCGGCCGCGGCGGCCATTGGAGGGTGAACCAATGGCAAAGGAAGACCTTTCTCTTTGTCTCTCTCTCTCACTGTCCATTCTGCCTGTCAAAAAATAAAAAAATAAAAAATAAAATAAAAAAAGATGTATCACATAACCAGGTGCTAACATGTGCATATTAAATAGAAATATATGGAACTACAAATTTAGGTAAAAAAGAAAATGGAAAGCAGATGCCCATGGGAGTCAGAAAAAGGAAGGATGAGGAATTTCTGGGTCTTGCTTCTCAGTCTCTTAGTACAACTTGAATTTTTTTAATAATGATCAGAGGTAAAACTGTAAGTAAAATAAAATTGATTTAAAACAACCAACAACCAATTCCAAATCTTAAAATGGAGGGTGCATACAAGCTCTGACATGGACTGCTTCTTACTCTCAGACAATTTATTAATCGTTCCATTTGCTATACAGATGAAATTGTACAAGTATGCATTTCTAAATGTAACAGTGGACTCAAGTCAGTTTTTATAAAATAGATTTGCCAACACAGGAACCTGTTATTCAGTAATTTCTGCATTAAAAACAAAACTAATTAAAAAGTAGAGATTTCTTTGCTGTAAGAGAAGTGTTTTGTAGATACTAGCCAGTGATATAGATTTGGGGGAAAAACACACATACATGAAGAGTAAAGCAATCTGAGCCCTAACTCTCCCCTCCTCCTGCCCTGTGATGAAGATTTTAATAAGTAATGAAATGGGAGACTTACTAAGTAAAAGGCCTTGGATCAAGAAAATGCATAGCCCGGCTTTCCCAGAGGTGCACTTTCTCTTCTGAACTAATGAAAGGGCCAGCAGGAACCAAAGAACCATTGCTGCCCTTGGTTACATGAGTATATCAAAGTGCTTCCAAAAGAAACCCCATCACACTGATTTTTCGCAAGCAAACTACCACAGGATAAGAAAAAATGAATTCCAAGTAATGTATACTCCACTTGATCCTCAATCTGGGTTGCCTAATCCTCCCTCAAATTATTGTTTCCTGGGCATGCACTGCCCTGGTATCTGAGTGAATTTAATCTACTTCCAACCCAAAATGAATTAAGGCATTTTCAAGATAGCTTCTAGAATGTCAACATGTAACAACCCAAGTAATTCTAACTTGCTCCTTTTAATATAAAAAGAGCCTTCTTTCCCCTTCTTTTGTCTGCTCTCCCTGCAATGGCATCTGGTGGATATGGCAGTCAGTTCAAAATCCACAGCCCTCTTTTATCCCCTACTATGAGAAACCCAGTGCTCTCTTCATTACAAAGTAGAAAAACAGAACACATTTTGCTCTGGGCCTTTGCCAAACTGTCACTGTATCTGGAGACTATACCCTCCTCCCTGAAAAGGAAAGAAAACAGTCTAAACTCTGTCCCAGCAAGGCAGCACAGGCCACTGTGACAGCGAGCTAATTCATCACTGTGGGGACCTGAGGCTGTGCAACTGACCACTCAACCCTCAGTCATCCAGAGGGATGGCAGTTAATCATTTCCTTAAATGATGTGGCTATGAAAACAGGGCTGATTGTTGCTCAGTGGACTGCCCTGATCCACGCCCCCCCCCCAACCCTCTGTGCCCCCAGTAGTGACTGTTGCCATTTTCTCCTTCTTCCCAGACTGCTGGGTTTCAAGAGATTCTGACCGAGGTGGAAATTTTAGCGGTGATTGTGGGATGCCTGTGTCATGACCTCGACCACAGGGGAACCAACAATGCCTTCCAAGCTAAGTAAGTGTTCTAATTGTTGTTATTTTAATGCATTTGCCTTTCGCCAAAGGTGATGAGTGCTAAAGAGTAAAGCATTAATTTCTGGCATCCGGGGCCAAGGCCATGCAGGCTTGGGCGTGCATGTCATGGGGCCCATCCATCTTTATAATTCCCTATTCTTCTTTTAATTGCAAATTTGCCCTTCATGTCATGCTTGTTGATCTGGTCTGTCTCTGTTGACCTCAGTCAGATAGCAAAGCTCAGATTTTAAAGGGCCTAGATCTTTCCTCCCAAAACATTTGTCTGTGTGGCATTATAAGCTTCTTATACCTGCTACTCTCAAAATCTGGTTTTAAAAACATTAAAATAAAAGCCAGTCTTTGGAAATTTTATATCACAAAACATCTCTTCCTGCTGCAGTCATTTCTAGTGTTCTTTTGACTCTGGGTGTTGTGGGATCTGCAGTGAAATAAAGCTACCAACAAGGAGTAGCCTTTGCTCCCTTTATCTCCACTCCCACAGAAAGGTGGAAAACAAAAAGAAACAGAATTTACATAAATACAAGTACAGGGATGTAGAGGCATCTATTTGCCATGCGGAAGAAGAGCATGACAGAATAGAGCAAGTTGTACTGGTCAAGATAGCCATTGCTTGGTGGCTCACAGGTGCTGGAAAGAAACCCCAAGGCTCTTGACCCTTATATTGAGCATCCAGTTTTAGTGTTCTTTTCATTTTCTGTTGGCATACAAGAGATCAGAAGCAGGAGAGAAAAATCGGGAGCAGGGGGAGTAGAGGTTTGGGAAAGCTATAACAAAGAGGTGAGATTAAAATGACTGATTGCAAAGAACATCAGCCTCAGATGACTAATTTCAAAGCCGTCCTCTACTCATATCATCTGAAACTTCAGTGGTCAACTGTGTGTCAGCAGGTTCCCTTCAGTTCTGTTCCCCAAATGCCTATTCATTGAGACACTGGACCCTTGCATGTGCTTGGTGACCTAGCAGATGCGTTTTTATACTGGGCCCTTCCTTAACTATGCTGAATCCTGTAACTTATCGTTACAACTCTCTTCTCAATAGCCTATAGTGCTTGAACCTCTTAAATTTTTATAACATTCACTCAACAAAGCATCAATCATGATTCAGTCTGACAATTCAACTTTGTGCTATTCTGCCTAAACTTGTAAAGGCTTTTGGAGAAAATGTCACAATTGTGAGAATTTGAGACGGTCCAGTCACGTATTCTCCCAACTCTGCTGTATGCTCAGGTCTCCCTTCCAGCCCTCTCGGTCCCTCTCTAGCATCGTCCCCATTGCTCTTAGCAGTAACAGACACAGAACATTTTCTCTCCCTAAACCACCTTCTGCTCCACCCTCCACCACCTCCCCCACACCTCTCAGCACATCACCTTGCCTCCTACTTCACTGAGAAAATTGAGGCCATCAATCGAGAACTCTCTCAATTTCCTCCCTGCCATCCACAAACTTATCTACCCATCCCAATCCTTTCCTCCTTCCCTGCTGTCTCAGTGAAAAAGCTGCGCTTTCCTCATCCAAGGCTACACCATGTACCTCTGCTTTGCATCCCTTCTTTGCACAGTCCTTTGGGCCCTTGGGCCATCAATCTTCCTCTCTGGCCCTGGTGTCAGTTGCCTCCTTTCTCCTGGTGCCATGCATCCTATTAACATGAATTCCCCTTCCTCCTGCAAGAACACTCACCTTAACCTCCACTTCTCTGTAGCTTCTGGCCTGGTTCTCTTCTTCCTCCCTTCCAGTCAAGTTTCTTGGAGAGCTGGCTAGGTTCCTTATCTTCACTCTCCCCAACTCCTGCCCTCACGCATGACTCCCAACTGCACCTCACCAGAGGAGCCATCTTCAGTAATGTCACCAACAGCCCCCTTCTCCCAGAGCTACTTTACCTTTTATTGTCTTTTTACCTTGATCCTTCTGGCATGCGACATATTTTGCTTCTCCCTCCTTCTGGAATCTCTTTCTTTTGCCTCTAAGACAAAGGGTTTTCATCTATCCTTGGAACCGTTCTCAGTTTGCTTCAAGACCTCTCTCCTCCTGGCCCAAGCTTCACTGGTATTATTATCTTTTGTTCCTTTCTGCTCTTTGTGACCCTTCGCATGGGGCCTCCATCCATCTGCTCATGAGTCCCATATCCATTTATTTGAACCCCAATTTTCAGATTCTACATAGGCACATAATCCAGTGGTTTAAGAGGCACCTGCTACTTGAAGTCTCACAGTCGCCTCTTGATCAGTCTTCACCTGAAAGCATGTTTCTCTTTTCCTTATTCACTATCCTAGTGAACAACACCACTGCAAATCTACAAGTCACCAAGACTCCCTCCTTGCAAAAAAGCTGTAGTTACTGTACCAAATGCAGAGGAGGGGGTGACTTTGTTAATCCTGGGTGGCTACAACCAATAGCTCAAATCTCCTCCTCTATTCTGATTGACATCAATAATCTGTCTAAATCACACAGCTGACCAGTTTATTCCTGTGCTTGAAAGCCATCCACAGTCTTCCTGTGACTTTTAGAGTAATGTTCCAGTTCCTTAGTTTAGACCCTTAGGGTCCTTTCCCACTGGACTCTTTCCCATTTCTCTGGCCCACACCTACTAGCCCCGGCTTACCCCACCTTGCCTTTCATCTGTGTTCCAGACACAAGGGACTTCTTGAAGAGCTCAGTGGAGCCCTGATGGTTCTCATCTCTCTGCTGCTCCCTTGCCTGAAATGCCCTTCCTTTTCTGCTTTCCCTCAAATGCCCCAGGAAGCATCACTCCCAGAGTTCTACCCTGTTGTGCCTCCCTTTGCCATTTTTTTTAATGCCCACATAATGCCCTGGCTGTGTTTTCAAAAAGTGGATCTCATTCCATTTTCATTGCTGAGTTACAGGTGCCTCTCCCCTTGTTCTTCAGTACCCACAACTGAACAGTGCCAAGAGTAGAACAAACACATACTGAATACTTGCTGAATGAGTGGATAATGAAGGCATGAATGAATGAGATTTTATTTGAACCATTTTACTATAGCCTTTCAATAAAGTTTCCTTATCTTCTAAACAGGTATAACCTTTTATAAATCATTAAAAAGTATTGTTTTTATGTATACAGATTTAATGTACTACAGAACAGGAGCCTGTTGAAATGTAAACTGTTTAGGCTTTCATTATAGAGTTTAACTTTTCCTAATGTTGACTTCTTGTAGCTGCATTCCATTATTTTATTTAGGGCTCCTTTCTCCACCAGACCAATTGTATCATTGTATCTCCCTCTAACATCCTCCTGCCTCTCTACCATTCTACCACTTATGCATAAATAAGAGATACATGCTTTAGCTCTATGTCTGTAAAACCATAGTGAGCGTATTGTGGGACCTGCTAAGAGTGAGTACAATGCTTGGACTCAGATACCAGTGACCATGCCCCAGAGAGAAAGCCTGTGTGTCACAATGAAAGAGACAGTTCTTCTTGCCAGTTGGCCAAGAGCTGTTTGGACTAGGAGTATACCCCTAAATCAAAGCTAGACCAGTTATATTTTGCTTACAAGAAATTTGGAGTTAAATCACCATGACACCAGATGTAAACTACAGGGAGCCACGCTGTAAGTCCATGGTGACCTGGGGCTGGGGCTGCTATTTTGGAAAAGCTATCATGACCACATCCCATGTAAATGGGACAAAACAAGAAAGCTGGTTTTCAGAGAAGAGAGAATGATGAAACTAGTATATGGAGAGAATCAGAAAGGAGAAATTGCATAATCCAAAAGGAAGACAGGGGAAAATCAGACTTGATTCCTGGCTCTCATCTTTGCTCCCATCTCTAGGAGACCCAGCTGTGCTTGAAATAGTTGGGCCAACTTAGACTTCTGGTGCCATTTAGCTAACCTTTTTCTTAAGGAAGCTGGTTGTACTTCATTTCTGTTCTTTGCAACGTACCACATCTGAAACAACAAGAACAATAATTTGTTGTTTACTATGTCTCAAGCCCTCACCAGTGTCTCTAGAGAGCAGGTATTTTTTGTCTCCATTTTACAGGAGTAACTGAGCCTGAGGAAGATAATTTGCTCAAATTCGTCCATCCCCCATATGGTAGAAGGGAGTTTGGAACAAAACCATCTGGTTCCAAAATTCATTCTTTAACCACCCTCTTATGCTCTCTTCCCTGACTTCATAACATCTGCTCTGGACCTTTGAGCTTCCAATGTGTTGGTTAACTTGTCATATCTGATAGCCCTAGAAAATGAAAATATATTTTTATATCTAGCAATTGAAGACATGGAGCCATAAAAATTGTAGAACTGAGCAAGACCCAACTAATTGTACTTTTAGCACTTTATCTTCACAAAAATGGAAACTGGGGATTTCCAACTCTCAATTCACTTGTAGAAGACTTAACACCTTTCATACTCTGTTCGATAGGTATTGGGTCACTAATTCTACATTTCGATTTTATTTTTGTTGCATCCTTGTATCACATGATCACAGCTACCTGTTAGATGGTGTGCTGTGTCCCCTCAACATGACTAGACTTATATACAGTTTACCAACTCATGAGATGTCCACATGCTCTGCACTTACCTAATGGAGTCACTTTTGAATTTAGGACACTTATTGCCACTGTTGCCCAATCTCAGTTAAGATGAACTAATCTCAGTTAACTATGAATGCTGAAAGATTTGCTTACAGTGTAGTGAAGAGACCAGCTTTTCACTGATTAGAATAGATTTATTCAGTGAGTGTGCCATTGCTTAGAAAATTCCTGGGAAGCAACGTATACCCCTTTCTCCTTTTGTATTCCCAAATAACTGAGTGCTTTTGCAGTTCAAGGCCCTTTGCTAGGCATTGTGGGAGAAATACAGAAGTATGGCCAACAGTCCCTTCTCTTAAAGTGTTCACAATCTCATTCCAGCCCTTCAAATGATTTGAAAATGGGATTTAAATGCACCAATTATTATGTGTCAAAGCATATGCTACCTTTGTTTCATGTATAAGGCTATAAAGAAATAGGAGACATT